GGCTAGTGAGGAATGAAAGAGCATGGACAACATGGAGATTCAGTGTTATTTATGCAGCTGTATATATAATCTAATATGCAATTATTGAACCTCTGAGTTATTCTTAGCAGAGATGGCAAGATCACAAAGGCTCCTGGCAGGATGGATGCCTGCCTCGCTGTCCTGATACCACCAGGAAGTGGCAGCACAACAATGAGACAGCACAGGCACTGAAATATGTCCTCATTGACAGTCTGCTTCAACTTCACTCCCCTGGAATGGAAGCTTATTTACTGCACTGGTGTTAGAACATGAACCTTAGCAGAAGCTGAGGTCAGGTTTAATGACAGTAACTCTTCGGAGTATGTGCAGCAGCGCATGATGTGTTTTATTGTAATCATTTCCTACTAGAAGCAAATCTCCTTTCTCCTCTCTCATCAGCAATTCCTACTCACCCTCTCATACAGTTCAGTTTTTTTGTATTATGACAATTTCTACTCAGTTTTCTTCTTAAACTTGATCCTGGTTCTCTCTACATCACTGAGCTCAAAGCATTTTTTCACTGCTCTGTGCCAAAAAAGTCATGGCTCTCTCATATATTTTGTGATGTTTGAGGCTATTCCACTGTATTATTTGTTGAGATAATCCTTGCATGGACTTAGAGCAGCTCTTTGGGCCCAGAGCTACACCTGGTAGTAAGTGTTGAGGTTGTCCTGTGCTCTTTCAGCCCAAGGCAGTGTCAGAGCAGGAGGCAGTGCTAGAGGAGCCTCTTCTGCACTCCTGCAGCAGTGTGAAAGGCACGTTGCTCTTTGTGCTGTACATGATTTAAGATCCCCCGATTTTTTTTCTGGGTTTGGGAGTTTGTTTGGGGTTTTTTAATGGTTTGTGTTGACCAGAGTTCTGCTGACAGAACAGGCAGCAGAGAGATTTGGTCCTCACTCAGCATTCTTGTCTAAAGGAGCATCACAATCACTCTCAGAATATTTTGCTTAATTATCGTCTGCCTTTATTGTGATTTTACAGAGTGACGTCTTTAGAATATTCATTTTTTTTCCTTTTGTCAAAGTACACGGTAATACTTCCAGCCCGTGCCAGTGGGATTGCAGCATCTATGGATCGCATAGGTTCATTGAGCCCCGTCCTTCCCTTGCCAAGAGTAACAGTGACACCCTGTGGCAAATTGAGTAGAGGCCGTATGCTCCATTTCCTTGGCTTCTTCCAAATTTGCCTCCGAATTTCTTACACGGCAGGGAGTGTGACAGGAGGAATTCCTCCCCTACACATAGGAGGGCTGCATCAGGTTGTCATCTGTCTCTTATTAGACGTTTCCAATACTGGAAGACATGTCTAATGAGCACTTTAATTCTTAGATACGGAGAACACTCTGCCCCAGATGGCCAGATGCTCGTGGAGGTGGAACACAAAACAGAAATTGAGAAAAGAAAATTTTGCATTTCAGTTTAAATTGATGTTACAGGAATATACTGTTCTTCATCATCATTCATACTGCTTTTCTGTAACATGGCAACAGTCTATTGAACCACATCAGATTGCAATGACAAAGATATCCACAATATAAAGGTATCCACAACACAAAACTTACTACATAAACAACTGCAGGTGGAAGTTAGGGTCATCCTTTGAACTTCTTACTTGCACCATTCCTTTGGTTTTTTAATGAGTATAAACAGCACAATTGCTCTGTAATTACTGACATCATTCTGATTCCAGCCAAGGCCTCACTGCACAGTACCATGGTTCTACTCTGCTATCACATGCTAATGTAAAAGCCATGTACCCCAGTTAAACATTTTCCAAAGAGTTGAACTTATGACACTCAGTAAGTGCTACATGGCTGACTGAATAATATGGGCTGCACACTGCAGGTGGTTTAAGCCTCATGCACGTGAAATAGCTGACAAAAGAGAGTTAAAACTTCATGAGAGCAAGTGGTCTGCTTTTGGCTGTTTTGGTGGTTTTGTGGTGGTGGTTTCTTTGGGTTGGGTGTTGCTGGTTTGGTGGGTTTTATATGGATGTAGGAAGGAGAAAAAAAAGAAATATTGGGCAAATATCCCATTTGAATAAACTCTTATAGACAGATTATCTTTAAAAACTAATGAACATGCAGAAAAGAATGTAATAAATTAGGTTTTGTGTCCTCTGTGTTGAAATTTAAGGCTATTATGTCTTGTCCAAGTTTAGGTGTTTGGGTGGCAAGGCAATCTTCTTTAAGCAGTGGAATAGACTGCACTAATCAATGTCTTATTCTTAAAAGACTCTAATAAGCAAGCTACAGAAGTGTCTATGGCAAATATTTTAGGTAGAGTGGGATCTATTTCAAAGTGGAGAGGTGGAGCAGCTGACTTCCTAAGGCTCCTCCCAGTCCTTCTTTCAGTGACTTTATGGTTGTGTCAGTGAACTTTGTGATTTAAATAGTATTTTGTGCACATCTATTATACTTTCCTATGTCTCATTCTGTTGCTCAAGTGCCATCCACACAAACACTACCTCACTACCTTGTTCCTTTTGTGGGCTTGGCAGGCTTGCACTTGGTGCACAAACCCAGACTCACAGCATGAGCTCTTGTGCTGAACAAAGAAAGGACATGATTTCCACCATCACAAGTGGACCTTGGTGTCCCTGAAGGACTGGAACACAGGAATCCCATCGGACATCACCATGGGAGGAAAAAAAAGAGACAGCTGTGCTTCCAAGCACTGCTCTTTCCTTCTGTTTGGCTTTCCAAGATCCCTGGGGATCAGTTTTCAGAATCAGTTTCCATTTGGCAAAAGCAGGCTGCCACAGCTCAGTGTGTGCAGCACTGCCCCGTGGCTGCAGAGCTGTGTCTGGAGAGGAGTTTGCTCTGCCATGTTCAGATGATCAGAGAACACTCCAGTATCAGAAGCACTCTGAATTCTCCCCTGAAGGACTGGCTTATCACATGGGAGCACTCCCTGGCAGACAATGCCAACGAGACAAGGCTGACCTGGGCCTCCCTCCACTTGGCACTTCAGAGTTTGAAGACACTGCTTGGCAGTAGGTTGAGTATTATTTTATTTGGGCTTTTACTTATTTGCTTTAGCTGAGATTTGGGAAAAAAACATTTTTAAGGCAGAAAAAAGTAAAGTTGGATAGGGTTTCCTTTGTTGTTTTATATCTGGATCAATCACACAAAATTTTTGCAAGAGAAACAATTTAATTAATGCCTATTTAAATGTTTCTGATTCCTTGTATGCTCTTCATATCATATCAGATTTTCTTGGATACAGACTTCCAATTACAGAAGTGAAAAATTATTCTGGTTTTGGTCTGCGTCTTTTTGTTTCTTTCTTTGTTATTTTCTTTTTTTTCCTTTTTTTTCCTTTTTTAAATAGAACACCAGTGATAGCTTTTCTACTGCACATGGCTAAATATTTAAGAATATATAGGAATACATACAGGAAGTAAGATTGAATTTTAAAGACAATTCCTGAGAAATATCTAAAAGCATTTAATTGTCTCTCTTTAGGGAACTGGGCTTTCCCCTTAGCTGCCATTGTAAATATATTTCACAGGACATGGATGATAACAAAACTGCCTCTGGTATTCCTGGTTTGTATCAGAGTAGCATTGGGAGCCAGAGATGGAAAAGCTTCACGTGTCTTTGAGACTTCAATGACTTTCAGCTATAGAAGAAGTGAATATAAACTTAGATGTTAATCCTGTAAAGATGTATGCATACACATGATTTTTACACTCTACACTGACTTACTGAAGTTAATGACTGTAAGTTCTTGAAGCAGTTTTTTAAATTCTTTGTTTTATATATGGTGACCCTGTGGACTAAAATGTCTTTTATGGAAGTGATATTTGCCACTGATTTTCCAGCTAAAAATATATTTTTCCAATACTAGCTGAATGAAAGGTCAGTGTAAAGACAGTGATTAAGGGCAGTGTAGTGACATCCTATTAATTTATTTAGATTAACAATACTATAAAGTCTGTCAATTAATATTATTTTTGTGTATTAATTACTGTTAATAGTATAAATTAATAGGATGCTGGATGAAGTATTTTATTTTTTCATGAGGGTTTAATCCTGCACGGCTTACAAACATGAGGAGCAATATATCATGCCATGAATGAAGAAGTAAAAACAACATATATTTTTTTCTTGTCTAGATAATATGCCACATGGGTGCTGATTTTCATATGTAATCTCTTCTGGGAATGGAAATTATTATCTGGAAATAATGTGAATGCAATTAGCAATTTGAGTCTGCTAAATTATTAAAGTCTACTTAAATATGATGAATCAATTTTTTTACTTCAATGAAAATTTGTAAGGAGATCATAAACTGCATTTTATTTTACATTAGAGTCTAGACTAGGTTAGATTATCACCTTCTCTTTAGTTTTCAAACAATTCTAAGTTTTTATGAATATATTGAAGCAAGTCATAGGAACACATGCCTAGTAAAAAATACCCTATATACATCTTTTCTCTTGTGTCAACTCCCCTTGGTTATTAATTTTAAAAGGTTACAATACTTAAGACCATGTAAGTTGTTTCTTATGTTGTTTATGAATCATCTAAGTCTACAACTACATTATATAACACTACCTAGTTTTCACACACAGAATATTTGCAAACCTAAACAAAGATTTTCTGATGTTGTCTTGATTTTGAAGATTGGTCTGTTTAGTGCCAATTCTGTCTTCCCAGGAAGTCAATAGTAGAGAAAGTCAATATGTCCATTGATTTCAATTAACTAATTTGTATCAAGGTGGAGAGCCTTGCCAAATTCATATGAAGCAAATGATAGCAACTTGCCTTTTTTGTTTAAGGTGGAGGGGTGCAGGTGCATATAAAAGCATATAGCTGCCTGATCAAGCCTGCAAAACTGGAATGCCTTTAGCAAACTAGGTGCCAGCTTCACCAGTGTATTACTCCAGTTTTACACAGTGCTAAATTTCCTGACAGCAACTGGAGTAGTGCAGTGGCAAAGCAGCACCTCAGCTCCACAGGCTCATTGCCAGATATCCAAGAACAGCTTGTATTTACTGCTGTGAGCAAGCACCTGTGCAGCAGCAGCAGCAGCAGCAGCAGCAGCAGCAGCATGTCATTTGGTACATGCAGGTAATTGGCATTACAGACTGGAACAACACTAGAGTCTGCCTAGTTAGCCAGGTAAACACTCATCTCTCAGACAAAACCTTGCAGTCATGGTCCAGCTTCTCCCCATCTTGGAACCTCCTGCTTCATTTGGTGGATCTGCTTCTGGAGTTCATCTCTGTCCAGCTTCATTTTTGCTTCTAGAACTTGCCGTAGAGACCCGATGCTCTCGTAGATAGCTGCAAACCCTGTTGCAGGTGAGAATGGCATTAGTTCATCATGAGGAGAAGGTATCACATCACTGCTAGCAGAATGCATTTCCATAATGCTCTGCTGCAAACCCTGTTGCAGGTGAGAATGGCATTAGTTCATCATGAGGAGAAGGTATCACATCACTGCTAGCAGAATGCATTTCCATAATGCTCTGCTTTGCACTAGGAACTCAGCAAAAGTTCTGAAGGAAATGGGGTGTAACTGTGTGCTGAAGGCAGAAATGCCCTGATGGCAGCCCAGCTATGGCTGTGCCTGCTCTAGGGAGAGCATTTCTAAGCTGGTGTCACCCCTTATTGCTCTGCTTTTCACACTTAGTGAAATCCCTCTTAATGCCACAGGTGGAGCCATTACATCTGCCCCAAAAGTATTTAAGCTACTTTGATACAAGCAAAGACATTTTGCATATTACTGTGAGTGGATCACTGTCACCACAATTCAGAATAAAGAACTGGATAACTATGGTCCTACCAGCATTGACTTCAGCTTTCATTTCTTTTATATCTTCGTTTATCTCATTTTGAAGTTTGACAATGCGAATATTTATCTTTTCTTCAGTCTGTTTTGCTTCGTGTGCCTCCATGGTTATCTTCTGCATTTCTTCTATTCTCTCAATTTTCTCTGCCATTTGGTTGAATTTCATCTCAATACCTCTCTCACTCATTTCCTAGAGCCAGGAAACAGAATTTTAATTATTAACTGTGCATGTGGAATAACTGTGGCCTTTTTAAAATATGAAATAGATACTGATTTATCATCTTTTATCTGGAATTCAAAATTTAAGGAATTACAATTTTTCATAAAATCATTTCAAATTACTTGATTAGTGTAGGTTAAAATACTGATCTATTTAGCAGTGATCAGATTCATTTAAAGATTCTCAAATTGTAGGTATTAGACTGGATATTGATATGGAGACTTTAGCATATTCTGAGGCTATCTGAAACTCTCACTCAAATAATATCTCAATTATATCATCTTAGTTCTTAATAATGCTTTTGAATGCTTCCTGAGAAGTATTACAGGACATTTGAATGAAACTTACAGTGCTTTCCTTAAAAGTCAGTGAGAGTTGGTCGATTTTTTGCACAAGCTCTTTTTCAGTCCTTCCATGTTCCTGTTCCAACCAGCTCCGTGCAGACAAAATCTGATTGCTGAGTTCCTCAACAGCATCTTTCAATCTAGGAGCACAACAGAAATTAGCAGATGCAAAGGAGAACTGGTCATTGAACAGAGACTTTTTTCTGAACGTGTTCATAAAACCACAATTTAATACATTCTTCACACCAGATTAAAGTGAGCCTTTGAATTTTGTGGCTATTAAATGGGATATGGTAACATTGGTTTAGAAAATAAAGGTAAAGTTCACAGCAAATTTATATGAAACACATTACAAAATTTGAATCATAGTAGATGAAAATCCTTTGTGACATTGAAAACAGAATCTGGTTATCCATTCAGATTATAAACTTTATGTCCATATGTATCAAATCTGAGCAAAGTTTTGGTAGCCACTTATTCTGGTGACAGTGCTGGTTCCTGTAGCTCCACTTACATTGCCTGTACCCACCTCAACTTTACTCCAACCAACTGTGCCAGTGAAACTGCTTCTTTTCTCCAGTGAATATGTGAAACCTGCATTGCATGAGGATGGTGATGAGCAGTAAGAGATGAGGATGGCGATGGTTTATACCAGGACTGCTACTGAATGAAATGCCTGGAGAGGAGTTAACATCTGAATTGAATGTAATCACCCCATGTAATGTCTGGTAGTACAGAGTATTTAATCACTAATAATTTAGGTATTTCAGTTATATTCATGCTTGAAGCCAGTTTAAAGCAATGGCACTCTGTGAGTGCTGTAACTTGCTTCCTGCTTGCTTCAGTTGAACTTTTTCCCCTGCTCTGGACAGTCACCTCCAGCATTCATTGCTTCAGACAGCTCTTACAGAAAGGCACCAGGCCACTCTGACAAAAACCCTTAGGTGTGTACTTTGATATAAGTTCTGCCTGATAAGGAACTTAATCAACTTTTCAGAATTGCCTAACCACATTAGGGGCAGAATTCTTGGTGAAAGCAAGTCCCTCTTGACCTCTTGACAGTCAGCTTTTGTAATATCTGTGGAGCAAACACACATATTCATAGAGATTCCTGCTTTTGTAGGTCTGAAGATTATACCAGTCAGACTGGGAAAACTGAGGCCAGACTGGGAAAATGGAGGCCCTACTCCCAAGGTGCATGGCAGCAGCAAGGCTTCCCAGGCACTCACTTTGTGTCCAGAGCTTGGAGCTGTTGGTTGCTCTCTTTGTAGGCAATCTTCAGCTTTGCTTCTTGTTGCATTATTGATTGCTCTACTCTGCTCAGCAGATGAGAAATCTGAAACAAAATTCAGAATTTTCAACAGCATTTCATCACAGTTCCATTTGGGACATTTTCATAACAGTAGAGGTCTAATAGAGAGCTCACTTTTGCTAACATTTCAAAAAATTATTAAATTTGCATAGTTTACTTTATCATGAAAATATACTATCTCTCAATATGAAAGTATCAGCATTTTGAAAACTGTAAATTTTTTTGCTGTAAATAATGTGAATAATTTCGTCTTGAAAATCCCTGCCTGCCCCCCCCCCCCTTTAGACAGCTGAATTTGCATGATCCATACATCTCCAAATTGCCACATAATCAGAATAAACAAGTGCCCAAGCACTCCACCAATACTGAGGGATGTGCTCCATCACTTTGTGTGTAAGGGCCCCTGCAGTGATAGAAATGCTGGGTTTAACTGGGGAGAAGTCATAACTACAAGAGAATATTTGCTCCAAAACAACCATCCCACTTTCTCAAAGCATACTGCTCTGCTTCTCTACAAGATGCAGGACAACATGCTCCTGGCATGCTAATATACTGCACTGAGGCTTCTTAGAAAGGCAAAGTACATTTTAGCCTTTTTTTTACCCACCACAAAAGGAAGATGTAAAAAACTTTTTTTGACCAAGAAAATGGGAAGGCCTTGAGATGTGACATTAAGGAAAAGGATTCTTCATATCTCCAAGTCTCTGCTTGTATCTAGTGCTCACTTCCATTCTCAAACCCAATGGAAGAGAAACCTGAGAGACAGATTAATGAATTCACGGAACCCAAAGCTAGTTGTCTTTTGCAGACCTTCAAAACTTGTGTTCAAATACATACAGGATCATCCTGGGAAGGCCAAAACATACAATGAAAGCCACAGAGACTTGCATTTTTTTTTGTTGTAGTTTTGTTGAGCATGTGCCTTTACGTACTAATCCCTTCTACACAGATGCTGCAGGAAGAAATGAAGGAGCTTTTCCAGCTAGAGCAGTACAGGAATGCACCTAGGTACAATGTTCAATGTAATAAGGATTGTGAGCTGATACACCTCTCCATTTGGAAATCTGTGACCTCCCAGGATAATAATTAACAGTAATGGAGTCTGTGTGAATTAGACTAGAACTCTTACCTGTACAGGGATTGCCTTGGTCTAAATACCTTACCTGTATTTCTGCCTCTTTGATTTTAGATTCTAAGATCAGCTTGGAGGTGTGTTGGTCTTTACTTAGACTCTGAAGTCTTTCATATGTAATTTTATGCTCTGCAGACAGCCTGGCTAACCCAGCATCACACCTGTTTGAATAGATAAAAAAAACAAAACACCAGCCAAATAGAATATAAGGTCCAGGCTTTTAAAATTACCCATTTCATACTGGCCATTTCTGTGGGATTCCTGGCTGCCTAGGGAAGCAATTTGGGACTGTAAAAGGGTAATACATCTCATAGTGTTCAGAAAATTGCTCCCAAATAGGTCTGAAGCTCAAACAGTCTGATAAACAAATTCCATTGTTCTTGGCACTGACATGATATGGGTAGGCTGTGTTATCAGTCAGGGAAATCACCTCAGAAATGCAAAGATGCAGAATTTCATTTCCATGTGTTTTTGTAACGCTCTAGAAGATATCTGATAAGGTGTGTGTGTGTTCCCCTACATGATTAGTAGCCTAAATAACTGAGGACCATTTCTTCATTATTGTAGCTTTGCATTTTTATTTGTGAACTAGTAGTACACAGCTAATATGTGTAGTTAACAATGTGGGGCAAATTTTATGGTTCTTAGTCTTTATTTAGGTGAATAAATAAATTGTCATTGAAAGCAATGGCAATTTTGTCTCAGAAAAGGCTGTAAAATTAAGTCCTGGAACATAATAATTATTGTTTCCTTTTGTCACATTGGAACACTTCTTGATGCTGTAGCATTTTCAGGATAATTATGCTATAGAACATGTGTGCTTTCTACCAGATTTTAAAAATATTTTGATCAGGTGGATTTCATCTACAGTAATGCAGTGAGGGCATTAACTAAGCTGTAAAAATATGACTACTGTGATTTCAGGAGTAAGACCTCTGTGAAATATGACTCATATTTTTTTTTTTTGCTAAGAGAAATATGTAATCATCAGTGTTACCAAATTTGATATAGGAAACTGATGAGGAACAGACAGCAGTTACAATCTGAGGGAGAAAAAGGCAGTAAAATAGAACAAGCTGAGGCATGTTAAGTCATTATCTAAACCAATGACATACTTTGTCATCTTTTTAGTCACATTTCAGTTTGAAAGCTTTCATTTCAACATGCATTTTCATCACCTCAGTTACAGGAATTGCCATGATCATTAAACATGAAGGGAAAGTCTCAACTAAAATGACAAAAGGAGCATCTGCTTATTATTATGGTACAGTTTCAATATGAAAATAATCAGTAATGTAAAATAGCACATAGGCATTATAAAACTTGAGGAAATTGATTTCTAGTGTAGCAGTTCAGCATTGTGAGACCTGTTAGTAATATCTGCAGGAAGCCTGGCTAGGGTTTACATAGCAGTGAAAAGCTTGCAGGGCTCACAATCAGGCAGTTTCTAAAGAAAGACAAAAGCCAAATCTCTCCATGTTGTTACAATCAGAGAGAATTAGAGAAATGGAATCATCTTGCATCAAGTCACCAAAAGGTCATGGGCTCTAAAAAATGGTTAGTTTTGTTTCTCTGAGGCATGGCAGAAAGTGGCAACAGCCTTGAACCTACTGAAGCAAATTTAATCAGCAAGCACCTGTGAATGTTTTTAAAGTAAATTAGTGGTTTGGGTTTAATCACCCAGCATCTCTCTTCTTCATGGAATTCAGTTATGCGGTCAAAGGGTTCATGTAGTTCCATGGTAACTGAAACATTAATATTCTGACAAGATGAATTTAATGTCTGCCTGGTATGCACAGATCGGATTATTTTGGTTTATCTTCTATATCTGTTGTACACACTCACAAACACCATTGGTTTTGGCCTGGAAGAAAATATTACTGTTCAGCATCAAAGAAATCAAAAGACAAGCAGTTGCTCCGTTCAGTATCACTGGGGCATAGAGAAAGTGAGAACTGTGCCAGTACTCTGCAGCTGCTGCTAAATGCATATGCTGTCATGGTATGGAGAGAGCTTTAATGTTCCTGGTCTATTATAACAGGAGATGTTTCAATTTAAATGCCAATGTTTCAGTAAAAAACAAGTAGATGGAGAACAGGGAGTGAAAAGCAAGTTGAAATGCTCAGTGGGGCAACTGGGCAAGAGCAGCAGAGCTGGTGGATTGTGCTGGCCTGGGGCAGAGAGCCCAGAGCTGCCCTCATGATGCCACCTCCCACTCAGCAAGGGCCAGAGAGCAGCACATTTACTGCTCCTGGAGAGATTGTCAGTGTGGGGCAGCCCAGATGCCTCAGGCTCAATCTGTCCAGCAGGAAAATCTGCCTACGTGTAATGAGCCCAGGTTGTCTGAAATGAATCAGTTCTATAATGTAGATAAAGTCATCTATATATGCAAAGTAGGTCCAATCTGAACACACAATTGCCATTTCTCTGGATGTTTCAGCTCTCAGGAAGCTTTTATGAAGACCTACTGCTATCATTCCAACCAGGCTGCTGGATTTAAACTTTCCAGACAAATGCTCATTATCCACAAGTAATTCTCTAAATAAATGATAAGGCACTAATGAATTTTATGATCTGTTATCACTAGAAAAAGAATTGGTAAATCTCTATAATATAAAATTGACAACATAAGAGACAGGAGGCTGGAGAATATGATCTACTGGCATAGATCTAATTTCCTGCTAATGCATCACTGAATTTTATAGAGGTAATATTTTTTCTTAAAGTTAATGATAATGTTGATTTTTAGCAATAATTCAGGACTGTGATAATTACACTTTACAGATTCATCAGTAAACTGTGCTTATTGAGAGAAGATCCAGAGACATGAGCTGTAATGTGTAGTCTGTCACCTTCTGATAGCAGTATTAGTTGATTCTGTGATGTGAGAGAGGTATGCTGGAATCTCACTCCTGCAGAGCAGGGGGGAGTGTGGTCTGGGGCTGTGCTCCAGAAGTGCATGTAGGGATCCTTTGTTCCCATCATTAACAGCACTATCCCTCAAGAAATAATGAGACAGCTGTTTGATGATATATTGACATGTTACAGAACAGTTGGTGTTAGGAAATAAACACCCCTCTCTCCGATATGGAACTTGAATAGGATGTTTAGTATGCATGAAATTACTGGAACTGAAATTTGGCCAGAATCCTAAGATGGACACTGAGGTTATTACATGACATGGGGCTCATGCTTTGGGATTTACTGTCTAAACTGATTCCCACTGTCCTTCTGCATGCTGCCAGCCTGGAGCAAACACAGCTCTCAGAGCTACTGCAGCCTGAGCCTCTCAATGGACCTTTGCTGTGGCTGAAAGTTGATGCACAGGAAGTTGGTAACCCACAGTAACTTGATCGAGTTTCTAAGGTTTCGCTCTGAACTCATCTGGAAACTAGCAGCACTAGAGTAAAGTGTATTTCATATAAGGAACATTGGCTAAAGTAATCAGAAGGTGTTTATCTCAGGGAAAGTCTCTGTGTTGTGCCAAAGGCACAACAAACCACTGTCTTGGCATAATCTCCAGCTAGTGCTATAATCATCATTCACTGGAACACTAATTTCAAAGTGGAATATGTCTGCAAATAAAGGCAAATGGCTTTCTCTCATGGACCACTGCTTTAAATTGCTTTCTCACAAAGGGAAGATTTTTTTCCCTCATTCAGGAATTTTAAAATTTTTTTTTAAGAGAACATGCTGAATAGAAGCATAGAATGCAGTATGGAAAGTACCAGTTAAAGGGCAATAAACTGATTCTCTTATGGGAATGAATACAAATAACCTGCATTCGTCACACAGTCTGACATAAGGCACATGGGTATAATCTCATTCCATTTGCAGATAAACTGCAACCTGGGCACAGCACAAGGGTGGTGCCCTAAGGAAATAAAGGAAGAAGCCCTGGCACAGCCTGGCCCATCCCCACCCTCCCACACTGAGGTCAGTGTCCTGGCCCTGCAGTGACACCCATGCCTGCATGAGTTCCTTCGCTTGAGTTCCCTGACTGAGGGCAAAGGCATTTTGTCCCCCAAGGTGTCAGTAACAGTGCTGCTCCACACACAGCCCCTCTCAGGATGTAGTATCATCTCAAAGTATTTTTATAGAAAGAAGCAGGAAGATCTAAATATATACATTTTGGGGGGCCTTCTCAGCAGGATAGATATGTGAATGTGTATCTCTCTATAGGTTTTTCCATCAATTTTCTAATTTGAAAAAAATAAACTAGTTCATTTGTGTTTGCTAAAGGATAGTGCATAACTTACTAACTGTTTAATTCTTTTTGAAACCTCTAAAGTATTTTCTACAAAATGGGCTATGAAAGTTACAGTGGAAGCTTCAGACAATTGAGTAATTTATGAGAAAATCTTAGTTCAATGAAAATCCCTTCTGATTATTTCTATATGCTGTTGAAAGTTATCACTAAACCAGGTGACATGCAGAAAAGGAAGCAAAATTATCTGCACAATATAGACAACAGGTGAAATTCAGGACAAATATAACTCCACCAAAGTTATTCCCCAAGCAGCTGTAGGCCAGGTTATGTCCTTTTCCTGGAGCTGTACACATCCTCTGTCTTTTGTGTTCAACTTTACAGGCACTTAAGCAAATGTTGTTGTGCTGAGGTTTGTGAATTTGTCATTGATGGCACAACTGAAGCCTATGCAGCCACAGAATTGTGACCAGGAGCTTCAGGCAGCCTGAAAACCTCTGTTACTGTACAGTTTTCTGTTCCTTATGTGGCATGTAGCCCATGTGGGATTTAATATGGGTAACCACTAACTGAATGTGCAGATTTCTACTTCTAAAATATATGCAAAAATGTGCAACTGTTTTGTTCTTCACAAGTGCAGATTGTTCCGTGCTGCCTTTATAATTGTGCTAATTAACGTGTTTCAAAGACACGAGTCTAACCACAGTACTTTTTAAAAGCTGAACCAAATCCAATTTCCCAGGGAATTTGAAATAATTTATTTAGAACTAATTTCAGGAATTTTAGGAATTAAGGGTGATATTGTCAAATTTAATATGTAATACTGGAATGCAAAGTATTATTATTCATTTTCTTGAAAATACAGAGCAAAATTGTCCTTGGAATTTTGCCAAAGTTGAATTCAATCCATTATCATTAATACTTCAGGATTAAAATAAGATTAGCTAGCCCCCAAAACACAGTTCCATGGGGACTTTTACCTTGCAACTCTTCCCCGAAGATCTCCTAGGCCAGAAAGCTGCCGCATTTCAAGACTCTTCAGGGTAGAATTTGTTCCATAGCTGAGATTGTCTCTGACTCGTATCTGTTCCTGCAGCATCTACAGAACATTCATATGCAAATAAAAACTCAGTATGGCACATTTAATGTACACTTTAAATGTCACTCATTATTTTTCAGTAATTCAGTATCCTCAGATGCCATTTTATTATTACTTTATTCAAACCTTTGTCTTGTACTAAATGTACTAAACCAGACACTTTTAGTTATTCTATTATTTCTTGTTATTAGTGTCCAATCTGCACACAGCTACCACAATATATATAAAGTATAACTTGACAGTGAAATGGAGACTTAAATTATTTTTTTCTCCTTTCATTTTCCCCACCACACCCCTGTTGTTCACTGCAGCAGAGGTCAGACATGAAGTCATGTGTCTGCCTAGGATTAGGTCATAAAAATGAGCACTTGGGTTTGGTTACTTCGTGTCGTCAGTGAGTCGGAAGGGAAAGAAAGTTTATTATAGAGCGAAGGCATTTCCTACTGTTTATACAGCACAGCCTTTGGACTGAAGTTGAGCTGGGTATTAGTGTCACATTAATTCATTTTTTCAAGATTTTCCAGTGCAGCTTTTGAAAGCAAGCTTATTAGAACCACAAAGGCTCCTGTGTTTATATGCTAATATCCTGTGCTATTTTCATAGCCACCGAAAGAATTATGTAATTTGCAAACACTTTTTCAAGTTGTAAAAACAATTTATAAGCTTACAGGATCTTCAGACCTTGTCTGACCTTTACTTATCCCGCGGTAAACGTGGTTAGGAAATGAGAAGCAGTAAGTAGCTGAGATGGCATTAGTGCCGTGCAACATTCTTGCCATACCTCGATGTCCCGGTTGAGCTGCCTCACTATCGCAGTAATGTTTCGGATGTGCTCTTCGAGGAGTTGCCGTGCCAACCGGTCACCCCCCCCTTTGTTCTGCATTCTGTGCAGCGTGGAAACAATGTCCTCCTTAATGCGAAAAGCGTGTTCCACAAGAGCTGCTGTTGTTTTCTCATGGCTCAGGATTCTGTCCTCCAGCTGATCCACCAGGCTGGCGGATGCCAGCGGCACCGCTGTCAGCGCCTGGCTGTGCAGCGGGATGTTCCGGACCCGTCTGGGGGAACAACATCCACATCTCGTTAAGTTCTCACACAAAACTCTGCAATGCCTTTGCACTGGAGACACTGTGACACTGTCTGAGTGCTGGCAGTGCTGGGGAGAAGCCCCAAAATACACCCAGACAGAGTGCCCGCTGCTACAAATAAGTGGGTGCTGTGTTGGCTACTGTGTGTCTTGTACAAAGGCAGGTCAGGTTTTTTTCATGGTCTTCAAGGAAGCTTACAAAAGCATGGGATCTCAAGGAAAGGACATTAGCATAATAAAAGTAGTTACAAATCAGAACTATAATTTGATATTCAAAAGTAGTTACAAATCAGAACTATAATTTGATTAAGAATCCAAATTCAAACCCTTCTACTGAGTTTCAAAAGTAATGTTATTTGTTTTTACAGTTTTCAGGCTTAATCAAAACTATAACAGTTGAAGGTAGGTATTGTAAATGAAATGAAACCAGATCAGAATTGAAAAGGAATAGCTTGTGTCAATCCCTTTTCTGTCTCTATAGCTAGCCTGTAATACCATACAGAAGCTTGTTCCCCTGCAAACTGGACAGGAGCATATGTGGGCATAGAAACTGAGGAGAGACCAAATTTATGACAAGCTTCTCATAGTCTTAGAAGTTAAATTTCCCCCCAAAATAGCTTACATTCGGGTATCTTGAATAATTATCTAAATTTTTGAAGAGTGCTCTGCATTGCATAGTTCCCATGGAAAGCAGTGGAGCTAATGGGTGCTGAAAGTAATGAAATGAATCTGCTAATGCATGCAACCTTTTCCTGCCACTATGTTCTGTAAAGAATAACAACATTTTCAGAAGCGTAAGTAGAGGATACAAGTTCAACCCCACTTCAGAAAAGGAGATTTTTTTTTTCTAGAAACTCTTATTTACTGTGTATTCTCATGTTGTTTCCTGTTAATGAGCCAAATTAGCAGTTCAGTTTGACCATGGTTGTGGAATCCTTTGAACCCTTCAGGGAAATCCCCAGGGCCTTGCCCTGGATGAATAGACCATAGAGTTTTCCCCACCTAGGCTGAAAGAGAGGACTTATTGATAGAGATGTATACAAAGGTCACTTTGGCTCTCTGTTTTCACAACTCATTCCATGCTATTTGAACATGGCTAAAGTGTTCTTGGATTTCTAGTCAGTGAGATGTAAGCTATTGAATTTCTTTGGGAAATGGCTAAGTAAAAACTGAGTAAGGTCTTGTGATTTGGGCTATGATTTGAATGTCTATGGTTATTTCACTTTGCATTGCACACTAATGCCAAAGTCCCAGGTCACAGCATTACTCTATGCAGGCAATTAAGAGATACATAATACTTTGCATCATAAAGATTTTTGGTTTTATATTCCAGACTGTACCTTTCAGAAGGGGCAAGAGTTGGGAAGATCGGGCTTCGGTGGGCCATTCTCTGGTCAATAATTTATGTCTGTTGAAAAAGTACAAATTGAATTATTGAATAGATTACATCTGCTACTGAAATGACTTAAAGCTTTTGCTTTCAGTGCACCTTTAAGCTAAGTGTAATATTATGCTGACACTGGTGATCTTGGCATCCAAATATTGTTAATGCAATAAATGCAAATAAAACTTAATACAAAAGAATGAAGACTAAAAACTGCTAAAAACCTTTTTATAGTGAAAATTATACTCTTGAAAAGACAAGGTTGACAGCCTTGAAACTGAAATCTGCTGTTGACCCACATAACTTTTTTGGCAGGACAGAGGTTAACAAAGTCTTGTCCCCAATTTTCTACTGGTCTCTGACATCAATTAATCAATTAATAATAAAATAAGGTCTATAGGATGATCATAAAACTTAAGGAAACATTGACTGGAGAATCAAATACAAGTGTTTCAATTCAGCAGATTATTAGGGATAAGATGTTTTTCTCATAAAAGCATTGGCAATCAGAAACCTAAATAAAATGTGTGACATCAGCATAGTTTATCAAAATTGAGTCTTGTATTAATTTGTCTTCAAATCTAAATGACCATGCTTTATGTTGTAAATAAATTCTTCTGTAGTAAGAATATAAATTCTGGTTTTAATTTTTAGATACAGACAGACAGACTGTGACAGACATTGCAGCAGACTAGGTCTATTAAATAGCTTCAGAAAGATATTTTAGCGTCTTACTGTGAGACCAGTACCTGACTCAGCAACTTTGTCCACTGACAGAAATTAATTAAAAATATATTAGCCTCAATCAAATCCAACTAATCTCCCCTCCATAAAACAAAAAACATTTTTAAGTATAAAGAGAAGTAGTATGGCCTGAGCCTGATCTCCTTGGGAACCTAAAATCCTCACTGCAAAATAAGGCTGGTGTATGAAAAGAAGCTTACAATTGCTGATGAAATCCTGTGCAATCTGGGAAAGATGGGGTTATGGAAATACAAAAGTCAAATATCGATAATGAAGGAGCAATAGGGCTACCCTCTGAGAACTCAAAATGCAAAACATGTTTGTGCTTTAGAAATGTATGAAAGCACTGACTGAAAGCAGAGAGCAAACATTGTCACAGTGTGTGTGTTCTATTTATAGCACGGCTTCAGAAACTACAAATTAGAAAAAAAACAGTTTTAAGAGAAGCTGGGTTGCTGAGCAGCAGTGACACCAGACAGGAATTCAGAAGGTCTGAATTGAATTCCTTGCTCAATCTCTGATCTTGTTGACTCTGGACAAGTTATTTCCATGAGTAATGACTCAGTTTCCCTATATGTAAGAGAGAGAACCATACCTACCTCTCCTTGTTTAGGTTCTTACATGGCTATAAGTAAAAAGCACAGTGTAAGAGCTGGGGGTCATTGTGGTGACTTCTGCATTCAAAGTCCTGCACAGACACTGAATGTCCAGTTCTGCAGTCTGCTCCTCACACTCGTCATTTCCCACTTGTTGGATTTTTAAGAAGTGCCAGCACTCTGCGAGGGTCCCTCGTGGTCACAGCGCCAGGCACCCAGTTCTCAGTGGGCCTGAGACCTCTGGGCCTTAACACACCTTAATCATCTTGATGCATTGAAGCTTTTAAGCATAATTTAGCTGTAAACACAGGAATTATCCCACTGATTTGGGAAGAGCTATGTGCACCGCAGCAGCAAAGCACTGGATCCTACCTAGAAAAACAAAGAACAAATATTAAAGTCCATATATCTAGCAGCATCTTAGTGAAATTTAGTGAAATACACCTTACAAAAACCAGCCAAACGGGGCTTTAGTCTCACAGCCTTCAGTACCCATTTATTATCAATTAGAAAATAATGTTTGCAGCTAGCTAAGCATAGGTTGGCATGAAGTCTTAACTCTTTCTGCCAGTCTACCATAAGAAATGCAGCTAAATGCAAATATCTGGAGTAAGTGCGGCTATGAAACAAAAGTTACACAAATGAACTTCTCATTCATTTCTCTTTGCTCAGTACATGGTGAAGCATCTCATCATCAGATATCAGATCTGGTCCAACAGCCAGAAAGGGTCTAAGACTTTGATTGGCAGTTGTACAAAACTTTGCTGCAGTTTGGAGATATTTGTAAATAACAAATAGGTGTTAGAACTAATGGCAAATTCCTTCTCTATGAGAGTAATACCAACTTACACTAGTAAATAGAAACCATAAGATGTTCTATAAGAGGAGTATAATTTCATGTGGCTCTTTCTATGGCAGTAAACTGGAGTCAAGTAAGATATCATTTGAAATACTGGCTACAGGTGCTTAATTTATCTTTTTTAAATAATGTTGTTTCCTGCGTGATACTGCTATAAGCAATTTAAGTCATGATGAATTAACTCAGTAAATTTTGGCTGACTGATTTAAGCTACTGAATATTCCAAATATACTTGTGACATGGAAAAGATACAAGTTTTTTCCTATTTGGAAACTATATGGCTGATTACCAAAAATAACAGTTCACTTGATACTTAAGGCAGGTTTTCCATACAGATGTGCAGTGCTTCCTTAGTGTTTCTTTAAATCACTGGCATAAGATATGTAAAAGCTTGAAAACAAAATCATCCATGGGATGTGATGAAGAAATACTTCTAGCAATGTGCAGTTCACTCCTTGCTATTTGTGCTGTGGCATCCCTTCCCCACTTCTCAGACTGCCTCGCATGTTTATTTTCTGTGGGATCTCCATTTCTCCTGCTCTGAAGGATAATCATACCTGTAGTGTTCAGTTTCCCATCTTCCATGATAATCTACAACTAATGCTGTAATGTCTGCGCACCTCGGAGTGTTTTTCACGTTCATTCTCACATTATGCCTGCGAGGTAGGAAGCGTTATTATCCCTGAAAATACAATTTCCTTCTGTTGCTGGTAGGGAAGTGAAGCACGGGGCGGGCTATGTGACTTGCCACAAGTCACACGGGAATCAATGTAGACTGAAATACCTGCCTCGGCAAACACTTTAATCACTCTTTCCTTCTCAAAATAGAAACCGCTTTGGTTGCTGCACAGGGAGCGTGTGACGGCACCACCCCGGCAGCCGCCAGATGCTTCCCAGTGTTACTCTCGAGTGCGTTGGGGCAACGCTTCGGAGTAAGCGGAAAAGTCCCCGTGCTGCAGCTCGGCAAAGGGATGGGTCAGAGCCAGGGAGAGCCAGGGAGAGCCAGACCCGTGCCGAGCCCTGGGCGCGCCTGTGGCACTCGGGAACACGCGCTGTGTGTGCGGCGGGAGCCGGCGGGGCTCCCCCGGCAGCGCGGGCACCGAGCCCGGGGCTCCGAGCCGGGCCGGGGGGCTCCGAGCCAGGCCGGGGGGTTCCGAGCCGGGCCGGGGGCCCTCTGGAGAAATAGATGCGATCGGCCCCGGTGCCGGCCCGTGCCGAGCCGCCGTGAGCGGGGGAATCGCGGCGGAGCGATCTGCCCTGCTCTGCCCTGCCCTGCCCTGCCCTGCCCTGCCCTGCCCTGCCCGCGGTTCGGCCCGCCGGGGGTCCAGGCCCCGCGGTGCGGGGGTCACCGGTGGGCGCAGCGAAGGTTGCGGGGACACGGGTGTACGACAGCCGACAGGACACCGCGGGGCAGACAGCACTCTATGGCCATGCAACACGGGGGGGACAGAGCCGGGACAGCCTCTGCGCTCACTCACCGGTGCTGGCTCAGGGCAGGGCAGGGCTGCCCGCCGCTCCCGCGCATCCCCGCCGCCAGCCGAGCCCCGCTCCGCTCCGGGCGCGCTGCCGCCGCGGGAGCGGCCGTTCCCGAGCGCCGTGACCGCCGGTGCGCGGCCGGGGCTCCGTCCGCCCGCCCTCCCGGCCGGCTGCGCGGAGCGGATGGGATGGGATGGGAGCGGCTGGGAGCGGGGCGGCCGCCGCAGGCCGGGCTGCGGGAGCGGGAGCGGTTGCCAGGACGCCGTCACCATGGGAACGCTGCCGCCCTGGCGGGGGGAGCCCTTCGCATCGCCCCCTCCTCGCAGCGATTGCACGGCAGTGCCCGATCCTGGGGAAGCGGGGAGGGACTGGCAGGGCCCGCAAACGGCGGCGCTCCCTGCGGCACGGGGGGCGAGCGGCGGGGACCGAGCGGGGGCCGTGCCCGCGCCTCCCGCACCAGCGAACGCCGGCCTCCAGACAAAGTTCGGTGGTGACGAACAGCCGTGACTCTGAGTTTCTGGTGGTGCAGAGGAGCCGAGAGTATGACTGAAAGCATGGGTTTTTCCAGAGCATATATCAAATCCTGTCAGAACACATTATTAAAATCAATGACAAATATTATTCTTGTTTATAAAGTTTCCATGTTACATTTTCAAACAAGAACTAACATGCAGCTTCAGTAAAACTTCATATATCACAGCAAATAAGATCCATCTGCTTGCACAGCAGAGGCGTGTCAGCTAAAAGAAAGTATTACTGGAAAAACAAAGTCCACAGAGGGTGTGTCTGCCTTCACTTTTGTTTCCTGCTTGTGTCATTCCTTGGACTTTGATACGACCACCTTGGGTAAACAAAGTATAAGTGGAATCTGAGAAGAACTTACTGCACCATCTCACTCTGAAATAGCAGATTGTCTCTGATTTTAGTTAAAATCTATGCAACATCACATACAGTTATATAGGAAAACCATTGCAGGACTAAGGATTTGGTAGCTGTGAAGGATAAAAGGATTACACCATGCACACTCTATTGTAAAAAGCAAGGTGAGGTCTGAATCCACACTCTGGTTGACCTATTTATTCTGGTTGACCTATTTATTTTAAAGTAGTTCCCACGTCAAAGGATCAGGCCAGAGAGAAAACATGCCAGAGGTGCTTTGAAAACTATGAACTTGGAGTCAAAAGACTGTAGGATAATTCAGCTTAGAATGAACCTCAGGAGAACCGTTGTCCAACCTCCTGCTGCAGCTGAGGTGATTGATGAGGCCAAATGCAATTGTTCAGGGTTTTACCCAGCCTGCTCTTGAAAACCTCCAAGGATGGAGAATGTCCAGCTTTAGTGGACAGCCTGTTCTCATGCTTGTTGGCTGCTGAGGAAAGAACATTTTCTTTATACCTAGTCTGAACCTCTCCTGTTTACCTTTATATTGTTGTCTTCCCATCATGTGCCACTATGAAGAGTCCGAATTTGCCATCTGGATGACTTCATCACAGATACTGGAGGGCCCTGCCAGGTCCCCCAAAGTCTGCTCTCATCAGGCTGAGCAAGCCCTGCATCCTCAGGGATCCAGCTCCCAACCATCTCACTGCTGACCTTGCCCAGTTTCCTGATGTACACAGCTGTATTCCCTGACCTGCCAAATATTGAGACTATCTTCATGTCCCTGTGCAGTTTTTGTGCACCTGTCTAGAAGTTTTTCCTTGCTAAAGGACTGCCCAATGTTTTCTTGACTATGTATGTCTGCAGAGTAGAGCTTGAAAGTAAATTGTTAGTTAAAGCAAATCAATTAAAGTTATTTTAAGTTAAAAACATAACATTTGTACCTCCTACTGCAGTCTAGGAAATAACATTAAAATGTAGCTCATGCCTGCTTTCCCCCTCTGGCCCTTCTCTGGCAACAGTGGAGGCCAAGAGATAGGGACAGGGCATGTAAATTCTTGTCTGTTCTTACACTCTTTCCAAGGCATCCACACCACCAGGATTTGAAGTGAATGGTCTTTGGTTTGACCCATACTGATGCACTTTTCATCTTGTGTTAACAGAGACAATGATTTTTTGTACTTGTATCACTTTCTTGATGTTTCTAACTAAAGCAGTACTAAACTATTGTATTTTATATCATTACATCTTCACTGTAATTAATATGGAACATAGAGATTTATTTTCTTAAAGGAAAGTTCATATCACAATCTTTTTATCAAGGCACAACATCAAGAATATTAATTTATTCTGGGGTCTTCAACTGTCTCACTCATTAATTGAGCCCCACTTACCCAATCACAGAAGTACAGAACAGAGCAATTTAGGCTGGAAGGAATCTCAGAGGGAATATGGTCCAACTCCCTGCTCAGAGCAAGGCTGATTTTGATGCTGGATCAGGTTTCCCATCATAGCATAAAGTTTTCATCCTTAAAGCTTGTGTAATGTTGCAAAAAATCTCTCTCTGAGGGAAAAAAAAAAAATCCTTGTAATTTTGTTGTTGTGAAGGTACATGGCTCAGCTGCATTCAGTGGCAGGAACACAGGAGGCAGAACTCCTCGGTTCCCACGTCTTTGTGGATTTCTTCCAGGTTTATAGCAGCCCTGCAAATAACAGCATTATTCATACGTTTTGGTTTGCAGTCGGAGAAAAATTCAACTCCCTGAATTCTAAGCATCTCTTACATCTGAGGCTTCTCTTAATCAGATCCAGAGTGAAAGAGCCACGTGCTGTTTTTCCTCAAAAAGCCTCAAACCCAGCAGTGGATGTAAAAGGGCTGGTGACTGTTGCTGTACTTTTTATTCCAGTGGTACTTCAGATGGACACGTTGAACACGTTAAGGGCATGTTTTCTGAACAGGAATGCTGCTCTCATTTGAGACCAACAACAGAGAGCAAAGAAAAAATTTTATTAGGCATAGAGAGTTAAAGAAAGCTACAATTATTATACTATTTTCCAACCTGTCCTAATCACTGATTTCATCA